TAGACAACAATGGGAAGGTCATTTCCTTTACAAAGAACAGAGAATCATAATGGCTAACACAAATTATACCCCCACGAAATTGAATATGCTTAGATCATGTTATTTTTCGGGGTACCCAGACTACAAAACGAAAAACCAAAAATCATACAGCATATTTTCACCTCATTTTCCTACATTCATTTCCAGTATGTGTGTAAGGAGAACATACCATTTAAGAGAAGTCGGCTCGACCCACAACAACCAACATCATCATCGGCTCGACCACCATCGACCCGTCGATTCCACCTCCATCGTAACTCCAAATCACCGCCATCCCATCGGCCTCCACACTATGGCCGCCGTCGAAGTCTTGTGTCTACATGGGTGCGTGTGTGTAAGGAGAAGGGATAAGCTTAGGTTTGTAAGGAGAAGGGATTAGCTTAGGGTTTGATTTGGTGTGGAGTGATGAAAATAGCAAAAGTGGTAAGGGATATTTTAGTGAAACCGGTTGATGAACAGTACGAACCAGATAAGTGTGAAAACGAGGGTGCTAAAATGAACAGTGAATCCCTCATCCCCTCTTTTAGAAGAGTAGTAAGTGTGAAAACGAGGGTGCTAAAATGAACAGTGAATCCCTCATCCCCTCTTTTAGAAGAGCTTTTAGAAGAGTAGTGATAGTGATATATACATAGGCGGACCTAGGGGGTGGGGGCACTTTTGAATTTTTTTTTTTTATATATAAAATCGTGTTTAGTATCGATTGAAATCTGAATCAAAGTTAACAATTAATTTTAATAACATATTTCATGGAATCCATGACTGTTTAACTTTTATCAAAATTTACTAAATTTTGATTCTAACAGGGACAAAATCACAATAAATTTGAATTTCGATAACATGCTAATTTTAAAAATTCTCTAACGATCATACGCTAATCGAATCTACAAATTACTTATATCATCTCAAAACGTATTTCAAGAATTACATTATGGGCATATCGAATAATCCAAACAGATATCGAAAATAGCTAAAAATACGTTAAACGTGAGTCTTAAAAAATTACATCTAACTCGCATTTTTTTTTAAATTCAATTATTTCATTAACATTTATTATTTTTGCGATACAAATTTCTCAATGTATTTTTTATCATTTTATTAGGAAATTTTATATGGAATATGACAAAAAATTTCGAAATTTTACATCCAAAAAAGTCATATTCCATGTAAATTTCCGAATGTAAAATTACATGGGTTATTATTTTTTTGGACGTAAATTTTCATTTGTAAAATTTCTCCCAACTTTTTTGCAAATTCGATTGTACCCCCCCTAACTTTTAAGATCTACGTCCGCCTATATGTGTGTGTGTGTGTGTGTGTGTGTGTTGTGTGTGTGTGTGTGTGTGTGTGTGTATATCAGAAATGTTCTTATATTCAAGATAGTAAGTCTTATTTTGTCCACTTGGAGAGAACCCAACGTGCAGTCAGGGTCGATCCTGTGATTTTCGAAACTCGAGGCGAACTCCATAAATTAGGGCTCCCAAAATCAACGTAAATGCAAAATCCAACGGCATATTATGTAGCTTATTGCTAACTTAAAACTTAATATTTAGCCCATGTTTGACTCCCTTTTTTTTCATTCTATTTCTCATTCTTTTTTTCTTTCTTCATTTCAACCACACATTCTATCAACAAAATAATATTACTCATAAATCCAAAAATTCTCTTTACTTTTTAACCACACATTTTTCCATCAATCAATATTCTAAAAATTATTTTTCAAACAAAATAGGTGTCAAACATGGGCTAAAACAACAAACAAATATATTATACAAAAGATCTATATTATAAAATAACAAAACCAACAATGTTTCAAACAATTACTTAAATATATCCGTCTTGCTGTTTTAGAGACAAAAACATTAATCAAATTTGAATAATTTAGCTACTCAACCATTTCTTTCTTTATTGATAACATAACCAATCCATTCAATCTTTCTTGTGATATAGGATGTGTCTGGGCGCACTGTCCATTTTAATTCCGACTGTTAATAATAAAAAATCGGACTGTTACCTTTTTTTTTTAATTCACGTCAATCTGACAACAAGTCAGGCCATAAGAATCCATATTCCCAATTTACCCAATTTGGGGTGAGAGAAAGGTTTAAAAGAAGCAGCCTGGAGGATAATATGGTAATTCAATGCCAATTTTTATTATTGTCGTGCAAGAGTAATCTGCCTGTGGGCCCGTCTGATTTGACATGAAAATTGATTTTTTATTCCAAAATCACGCCCAGACGCGCCCATAGTTGATCGGATGTAAGTTTTGATCAATTTCAATTTCGAGAAACTTCTTTCTGCAGGTGAACTGTAACATGTATAGTTAATAAATTTTTTTAAGCAATATAAGCTGGGAAACAAATATTCAATGTCTTCAAATATTGTAG